GAATTTGCAGAATTGAACTGCCACAAATCGTATTAAAGAACTCAAAGTACACATAAATTGCATTTAGCATACCAAATTCGGGAGCGCAGCTATATACAATTACTGAACATAGAAAGAGTATTGTGCTTTAAACCAGAATGTATTGTAGATGGAGTGTTAGGCCTTTCCAATGGTTGAGCGCATTGTACTGCCCCAAGGTTGAGATGAAGGAGACATCTGATAATGCCAAATAATACATACATGCATACAATCCAAGTAGAGAGACCAACGGGATGGCCTACATTTTCGCGTGAAAACAAGCATAGATTCAAAGCCTGTATAATAAAATTGCAAATGACCACTTGAGGCAAGCAGTATCACGTGTGATGCAAATGACCACTTGAGGCAAGCAGTATCACGTGTGATAAAATTTAGAGTACGATGCCAGCTTCGTCGAACAGAATTCCGCAATGGAACCAGATGGGAGATACGAGGTCTGGCATTAAAGTTCCAGGACTGATTTTTTCGTGAGTCTGTCAATATCACAATGATTTTCATTCCATGGACTGATAGTTTGGACTGTTGGGCAGTGTTGTGTCAGTCCTCATCTGAATAGCATCTTGAATGAGAGTTTGGCTGGCAATGTAGAGGCTCAGTGTGTAAGGCGTCTGTCATATTCCCAGAGCGAATAACTGCTGGTATTCTGCTGTTTACTGGAAGACCTTTTTTGTTCCCTATTTGCTATTTTCTTCTCCCTACAGAGGCAGCAATCGAGACGCAGTGTTCCAGCCAGACTGATTGCGTGGAACATGCTCTTTGCAATGATGAGGATGGGGGAAGTTTTTGCAAATGTGAAGAAGATCCAGATAAGCCATGGATCGTGGAAGACGGACATTGCAGTGAGTAATAGGCCTACCTCGCTGCTACATGACCAACATGAGGAATTCATTTGAACACAATTTTATATTTTAGATGTATTCAAAAATGCCAAGGGCTGATCTCCAGATACCTTCATGTGAGAAATTACTATAAGTTGTCTGATCACAAGGTCTATTTTGCCAATTTGCGCCTCATTGGAATAGGCTTGCACCTTGGAAGTGGAAGAATTAATCAAATAAAAAATTGCGAAAATCGGTTTAAGAAAAGAAATAGGCACTCATAACCAACCTAACCCTTTTTTTTAATTGCTCATACTAGACGAAAATATCTAATTTTTCAGGTTTGTCTTGAAGCATCGAAATATATGCATATAATTGAATTGGGTCTAAACTTTACCAACCGATAGCCGGTTCTATCCGCACAAATTGTTTTCTTCCATTGGTGAATGACGGATCTCTCCGTATCGTGTGGCATTCGTTTATGCTCATATATGAACACCCTTGGTTGGTCTTGTTCAAAGCTTTCTAATAACTCTCTAGACTTCAAAACTCGAGGTCTTTGAGAAGTATTCGCCCGCATCCAATGAAAACTTTATTGCAATGGAGCCGCACACGCCCAATCGGCGTCTGTCCTGTCGAATCTATGTTCGTACCCTCGCAGCAAAGCTCTACAGTAGAGCTTTGCTGCGTAGTAACTACGTATTCCAAGTCGTTCGGAATTCGAATATCACGTCTCCTTCAATTACTACGGGACGAAATCTACAGAAAATTGTCATACTGGTAATTGGGGATATCCCGATGACGAACAGCACCCATGGCAGTTTCTTCCAAACGTGATTGTTCGAAATTGGAACGTTGTCTCTTTCGAGTGCTTTGTGGCCAACCCAACGAAAACGGTTTCAAATGCATATTAGGAGTCATTCCCTACGAACTCAACCAGGCAGTGCGCTCGACCGTCTCGGATTTCGCGATAAAAAAAATATCAGCGAGTGCAGTCAATCCAAAGAGCCTTGGAAAAAAGTTAGTCGGCCCTATCGATCCTGCCGTTAGCGAGATATCTCCCTTCGAACCTTGGGGGAAAACAGATAAACCCCATGAACTGGAAAATTTCCATCTCAGGAACCATTCATCATACGGAGGCGTGCAATAGCTTGAACCAGAGCTCCTCGATAGGGAAAGCAAATCGGTCCTCGGAGTTTGAATGACATTTCACCATCAAAGTCGAATTTGAAAAATGTTAAATTTAGGCAATTTTGACTCCCAATATCCCTATGTGGCGAGAGAAAAGACAAAACACTCGTTATGGTAAGTTGTATTCCTCTTCCATATGCATCGACGAAGCACGTTCCTTGTTTGATTTCTTGTCTGCTACATAGAAAAAAGTTCATCTGAAACTTGGAATTTTCACATTTTTGATCATATTTGGTCGAGTATTTCTCGATGTGGCGGAACACTTACGATACCATGGGTAGTGCCTCTAGAAAGGTGAGCTCGAGGTCTTACCAACGATATAAAGTTTGATGTGCTTTTTCGAAGAAAGGAAGGGAAACAAATTCCAAAAGTTGTGAATTTAAAAACGTTTTGGTGGAGAGGTTGAATACAGTCGTGTAATATATGTCGTGAAAGGTCTCACAGAGCTTCGTATAATAGGTTGGGTTCTTCTCAGCTTGTTTCTGCATAGCTTTCTTGCTTGCATGTTTTGCTCACCCAACGACCCTTGGCAAAAAGATCTAAACCAAAGTTTCCCGGAAAAGGAACAAGGCCTTTCTCCCGACTGGAACTGGAGGATATATCCTCTTATTGATATCGTGGCGAGGATATTCCCGTATTTCAGGCGGATTCGGCCACTTGAATTGTCCTTTTATGCTCTTTTCCATAGCTGAGACAGTTACTGTTGATGTTATCGTTTGAATCTCTCCGTGGTAGAAATCGCCTTCGTTTGATACAGTGACCCAATCTCCCACACCGGGATCGAAAGCGGGCTCCTCTTGAAATGTCCGAGCGGCAATGAAGGTTTTGAACGTGATGCTGGTAGAGACAAAGAAAGTGAGGATTTGGGTCACGTCCTTCGGTACAAATTTGTGAAAGGTCTGTGTATCGGGGATGGTTATTGCCAATGCATGCCGATTCCGTAGATGTTCTCGTGCGGCAAGAACGTCATCTCTGGATACCCAAATCGGATTGATCTGCTCCAGGTGGTGTACTGCCAAGGACCAGTAATACCGTAGAATAGGACTGGACACTCGGAAGCGGCACGCTTGCACTCCGCGTATCAACATGATTGGCGATGTGCAGGCAACGCTCCAAGCCGTTGCTGAGGAAAAACACAACGTTGTCCCATTGTAGTACATGTATTCCATCGGTCTCCGATCGTTGCTCTCTGTTTTTCCAGATAAACTTTCTATTTCGTTTCCACGTTTATCCCGTTTTGATCTTTCATTGTTTCTCCCATATTAATTTACTTTACCCATGCTGAACTAATTTTGGGTATAATTTGCAAATATTTGCAAATGTAGGCCGCTGTACCTCAGCATCTCTCTCAATATATATTTGTTGTATCGTGAACTGTAGAGCAAGAGTTGGCAGCGCGAACCTGGCTAAGACTATTCTTGATTGATGAGCAGTGGGAAAAAATATATACGTACGGGTAGAATGCCGCAAATGCGGCCATATGCCGCTAGCTTCAGTAGAAGACATTATGCAGAAGCACATATCCGGGTACAGGTCTATCTGGGCTGATATTCCCTAATCAGCATAATGAGGTCGCTAGAGTTGCGTGCTGTTGCAATGTCTTTTTGAGCCTTTCCTTATTGCATTTATTTTTTTAAATTACAAATTTCAGCGGTTACATATTTTTCTGAGGTTTGTCATCCATGACATGATTTATAACCTTTCTTTCACTGCAGCATCCAAAACAATGTATGAATGAAAATAATTTCATTTTGATTATCGAGAAAATTCGATTTCCCAATTCATATTTAAATGACAAGATATGACTATCTCTAAATGATATATCCTTTTTCTTAGAGTTGGGTTATTGGACGAAGTGCGATTGTGATGAGGAGTGTGTGAAGAATGCGTTGTGCACGCAGAAGAGGTGCAAGTGCATCGAAAACTTCTCTGGGGACCCCGACCAATGCGGTAAGTATATTATAGATGAACGGCATTCCTTTTCATGCAGAAGTCATGAATTTTTCCGCTGAATAGTGCAGACCTTATTTTGATTGCTGGTTGCTCTCGGCATATGATAAATTCTCGACAAGCAGGTTGCTCATTTATATCATTTCATCGTCAGCAAGAGAGCGCTCATGAGTATTGGAAAATAATCAGAAGAGTTACATATTTATTTGCATATCTTCGCCGTATGAAGTGCAGGTTATGGGCAGAGATTCGCTTTCCTGCCTTAGGAATCTTCACCCTTTGGGGTGCACGCCCGAGTTGTCTCGTTTCGCGTTTTCTTGTTACTATCCCGCACCTGTCCTGACAGGTGCAGGGCGCTGACGTCACACTTCAAATCTTAATCATGTTGGGTATTGTGGTAACTTCCCAAGCAGCATGTTTACTTAATATATCAATTTTTTGCAGTGTAAATTGTTTGCGATTGCCATGCAAATGACATCACGTTTATGTAAAATTTACGTTCCTACATGTACGTCACCTAAGTGTAAGTGTATTTTACTTAAACTAAACGTCACTCTATTTGACGTGAAGTACATGATATCAAGTTTATGCAACATTAGCGCAACACCATGCATATGAAACTTTAGCAGACCATCCAGCAGTTGCAGTACCAAGATTCCTCACTAGATGGAACACTTGTTCCCTGCATTCGACAAATACTATTAAGTACTGGCTTTCATAATAGAATATAAGATTTTCATACCATCCTTCCACTTCTTATTATGCAATCCATGAATATGGAAATCATGAAATTATTATGTATATATTTTTTGTAATATATGACTCAGGGAATCATTAAATGCTGAAGTTAAGCTTTTTATTACAGCAGTGCACGGGATTAGGGAAAAGTAGAATCCCACCTCCACATATATAAATTCTTCTCTACCCTAAATGGGAGAGAGCTCCTCTGAACATCTACTTCTTCTCTCGAGGTTACAGTACAAGAGAAGGAAATGGTAGGTCATATTGGTACTATTGAGTGCTGATGGGGATGAGAGTGAGTGTACTCATCCAACCACCCTTGAGTTCTGAAGTATGGAAAGGAATGGGAGATATAGTATATTAATTCTTTTCAAAGGTGCTAATTGACTCGTTAAAGACGCATGAATGCTAGGGGGAAATTAACATAAATCTTACGTAAAATCATCGTAAAAATACTGTTGGGAATGCAAACTGGCATGTCAATTTTACGTAAAATTGACGTTATTTTTATATCACCGTTTACGTATCACAGAGGTGACATTCATGCAAACATGTTGGCATTATCTTGACAATGGTTTGCGTAAAAATGATATGAAATAGACAAAAAAGTTACATTCATTTTACACCAAGTGGAATCCACATGGTATCGCTGAACTTGAGTATTCCGGAGTGCTCTTTTGGGTAGCAAGTGGATATCTAGTGCTGAAACGATTAAGTACTGGATATCATGAGACACATGGCAATGTAAGGGAAAACTACTGGACCGATTCCAGAAAATGAGGTACCATTTTAATTGTTTAATCGTGATGTTCTGTCGTGCGCATGGTGCATTGACAGCTGGGATTTACAAACAATGACAGGCTTTCTCTAGTAAGTGAATGGAGCCCAGGGAAAGTGGCCTCCTGCATCGGTGACATGCTCGCCTCTCCTCAAGTCCGCAAAATATCTCGAAAATTTTTTATTATTGATTGTTCATTTGATACTTTCTGCACTGGATATTAGTGAATAGTTTGTAAAGATTGGACTGAAGACTTCTAGACCCGTAATGATCTTTGCTTTCTCATCTTTCTGTTTTTTTTTTTCCGGACTTTCTGGTCATCTTTCTTGCGATTTTTCAGGCTTACACACGTTCGATTATGGTAGAAGTTTTCAAATGAAATCTTCCTCTTTGTGGGGAGGTTTTTTCTCTTCCATTTTTCCTCGGTTGTGTATCAGCCATTTCAACAGCAGGGAGTATCTCCAGAGATACACGATGCATCACGTATCTCATTCCGGATGTGACATCCGACCCCATGAACAAGACCCTATGTCCCCTTGTACAGTACTTCCGGAATGACTTTAACCCCCGTTAACATGGGCTCCATACTTTTCAATGGACCCTGTTGGCGCTCAGCAAAGTAGTACTTCTAACACTAGCAATAGATGTCGCTTCAAGCAATAGAAGCGTAATCGAGTCCTCAATCTCGCCGTAAGACAATGGTCATGGACCAGTGTTGGAGTCGAAAAAGTATTATGCGCAAAGTATATGGCAAAATCATATATTTCAGCTCAATATAAAGTAATCAAATTACGTTTGATTGAAGATTTCAATAATTTAAAAAATTAATATAAATAAAATATTAGTGATTTATTCATGGTTCTGGAATAAGTGTGCATCAGCAAATTGCATTCCATCGTCAAAGGGTAGACATAGAAAGGGTAACAAAATTAAGGGGTTTGTACTGAGCCAGTGTGGCGGTCTTCTCTGGTAGTTTTCTGGTTTATCAAGCAGGTCATGAAGGGAATTGCTGACTGGTAGAATCTGTGCGTGCGGCACTTATGCTTTTGCAAGAGAGATGAGATGATGTTTCTTAGGTTCATGGGTGGGCATTGTCGGTAGGATGCCATCGCGATGGATTTTTTTAGGAGGGCATGGGCATATTTAGATGTAAGATCCAGTCGTCTTTTCTGCAAGGATGGGATGCCCAGGATCGACAAGGCCTTTTCGTAAGTTTCATATTTATGCCCAAGGATTAAGCGCAGGGCACGCTTCTGCACCTGTTCGATGGTAAATACGGCTCGGCTGAGCGGGGAGCTGTTCCAGGAAGCGCAGGCGTACTCAAGAACTGGCCGGATATAAGAGGACCAGACATACAGGAGGTCCTCCTGACGTGCGCCAAAAGATTTCAATATCTTTAGCACTTACATTAGCACTCATTACAGACGTGCTTTCCGGGGCGAATATGCTCGGTATCATTGGAGGTTTTCTTTTCCATGTTTTTCTTTCACTCACAAAATATCTTTATCAATGAAAATCTCACAATCCCATGATGAAGTCCATAGCCCATCTACTGTATCAGGGAGGGGGGGGGGACACTCACTGTGTCCAAGTTCCTATATTTACTTGTCTTTTCCATTTTTTCATGACCTCTACTGCCAAATGGTACAGTTTCGACCCGAGTCGATATGAATTCCAGCAGCGTTTTTAATTTTTTTATTGTACAATACTCACTTTCTGTTTACGAAGGCAGTGTCATACTCAAAACGGGATCTTACTACCTGACCCACTTACACCTCTACCATTGTGCTGCTTGTGAAGCTTATAAGCACGTCATTAGTTATGATGATAAAGACAGGATGTCTCTCACTTCACTGCAGGCAGCAGCGCCACGGAAAGGGGGTAGGGGGGTTAAAGTCAATCCGGAAACACTGTACTAGAAATTCCATACTACCGATACTCAGGTTTTTCGAACCACGGTGATTTAATAGGTGGACGTGTCATATGGATAATATTTACAATCGAAGATGTTAAGATTAGAGCCCCAGAGAACCCGCGGAGATCTTTCGTGCCCGCGGTCGCACACGGGCTATGCCCATGTCAGGGTTTTTGCCGTTTAAACCTCTATTGTGTTTTGGCGATGGGTTTCCCCCTTCCGGTCACGCCGTCCTATGTCTTCCGTCCGTGAGTGCTTTGTCTGGGTGATCGTATTACGTGTGCCGTCTGTCTCTGTTGTTCGTCTCTGCGTTTCGTCTCTCCCCAGCCTGCTCACGCCGTCTTCGGTGGCAGTGGAACCTTTTTTCAGTTCTATCAAGTCTCGAACTTTTTCTGTGGACGCAGCCCAACAGTGACCCTACTCCTCAAGTCCTCAACACTTCCTATCAACCATCTGTCATATTTCTGTTCTTTCATAACTTAACTTTAATTAAATACTTGTTGTCCTTGTTGTTGAACACCGTATTTCATTTGTCATCAGTCATCTCCTTAGACGACTTGTCCTGTCTGTGGAGCGAGGCCGGACCCTTTGCCTTAGCCTAACCGCTCGTTCTAAATTATTCTCGTTCTCCTTGCTTTCGGCCTAAAGTTAACGTTAATAGTCTACTTCTAAGGCCCTCCACACGACAGACGTTTGGTAATTGCAATAGGACACCTTTCCAACAAACATCGTTGCGGTCAAATGATGTTCCATTCAGTTCCTTTAATCTCGGCCAGGAGCTCTTTAAGTATCTTCTCCGAGGAGGCCTATTACGCTCAATGTTTCTACATGAAAGTCTTATCTTTCATTTGATGTCCAGGACTTGGTTCTGCCCAGACGGCCCCTACTAGCATTCGTTGGCGCATTGCCCGCAGACACAGGAGGCAATGCGGTGGAACTTTTGGCTGACTCCCACAAAAACAAGCCCTATTTGTTGATTGGTTATGGTTTGAGGGGGGGGGGGGGGGGGGGGGGAGTGGGGGGTGGGGGGGGGGGGGGGGGGGGGGGGGGGGGGGGAAGGAATGTGCCCTTGTCTTGCTACTCTGGCTACGGGTGCGTGTTGGCGAGTACCTTCTGCCTTGATCGAGTATATTTAGTGGCTTTCATGGCAAGGTTGACCGGGAGTAATTTTTCCTGCCGTACAATTTTCGCTGCTCCTGTTTTCGCTTCGCGACTTTGAGATGGCTGATGAGATGTTATCGAAGGAAATCATTTCGGGAAGCGAATTTCGTTGATATTGAACACAGGAATTCATGCCACTAGAATCACTAGGATCTATCTAAAAAATTTTTACTTCCCTGAAAATGAATGTTATTGTTGACAGGATTCTGTGAGTTAAAGGTTTCATGGAAAACATGCCCTATTATGCCAGTTGAAGTAAATTTGATGGAAATTCATGCCTGAAATTCAGATTCTTACCATCAACTTTGTAAGGGTCTCTGCTCACTCTTCCAGACGGAACATTGTTGCCCTCTCTTGGTGTCGCGATGACAGAAAGAGAAGGTTCTGGTTGCCATGTATTACATTTGCAGGTTATTCAAGTCAGAGTTTGTTTCAAGTCAGAGGGTTTTGAGGGTCAATGGTTTTGAGGAAGACACGTACCAGTCAAAGCACACTTGATGGAGACAATTTAAGCATAAAATTCAATTTCCAGCATCACTCATTTCAGCATCACAGACTTCGAGTCAGGCTCTGTGCTCACTCTTCAATCACATATTACGCCTTACGATCTCTCTTCGCAAGATGAGGTTCCAATGCTGGGATTCTACTTGCTTGATTAATGATACACAAGTGGAAAAAATTTTTTTTTGTTCGCGACATATTTATATTTAAAAATGTGGATAATTTACGTAAATGGGAAGGATACCAAAACTTCCGATACCTTATTTAACGAGCAGAAGGTGGTAAAAATCATCATACAAAAAGTGCACAGTAGGCCTAGAGCAAATGTCATATGCTCGTTTTCCCGGTTCACCCCTTTTCACTCCTTCACCTGTTATGACAGCGGTTAAAGCCGCTTTCCCAGCCTCAGGCACTAACTGGCCTCGTCTGGTTTCTTCCTACATAACAACTGACTTTTGCCAACCCCTTCCATTCGAACTTTGCACATAGTACCGACTGCTGTTAGGCACTTGGTGTCTTTCATTGTATTAGTGAGCTCTTTGACTGTGTATGTGCCGATCCATGTGGTGTCTTTGCTGTTGTGTCGGAAGTAAAACCTTTTTTTCCCCCCAAAGCAATGAAAGTTGGGAAAGAGTTTTCCAAGTCTTGAAAGCGTGGAACGAGCCAATAACTTTTCCCAATCCTGATACACGGAGCGATACCTCGAGTTCGCTCTCCCGACACGCGATGTTTACATCGTTCCAGTCGGTCGGACTGTCCATAGAGTCTTCCACAGTCCTGTGAGTAGACATGTTGTGCAGCCATTGAAGCAATTCTTTGCGCTCAGTAGCTACAACTGACCGTCTCTCCATCCTTCTATGTCATTAAACCTCCATGCCAACACTCTCACCACTCACCTCCACGGAACTTTGAACGGTATTGAGAATTGTTGGACTTTTTCAGCCAGTCAGGCAGAAGATATTGTCTTTTCCGGATCGAAGACACGACCAATCACGCGGGCCGCAGGCTTTATTCCGAACCTTTGTAACCACACTTTCATCATCCATGTAAATTCAAGTCTGAACCAGTGGTCCACAAGACAGAAGTCTGTTTAAAGACTGCAAAAAATCAGGAGCCTATAGGGCTATATTAAATTATTATTTCTGGAACTGTACCAAAAACCATGTAGAAACTGACAAAATTAGTCGTTCAAGTTAGGCTTACTATCATACACATACTGGCGCCTGTCCCCACCGTTAATTTCGTTTCAAAACTTTTATCTTTGATGCGACTTAAAGAATATAAATGTGAAACTGAAAGTGCAGAGGGTTGCAGGTAAACCATTTCATCGTTCTCATTGACTCTGCCTTAGAGCTTAAAAGTTTCTTGTCTTCCTGAGGGTGATGAGTTCCGCTTTTTCAGTCAAGAACTTAAGGAAAAGGTCTCCTAGAGTAATCGTCTTCATAAACATCACCATCCAATCAGTAGAATTTAGCAAACGTTTAAGAAATGTAGGATGCTCATCGCCAGATACGAGCTGTTCGCATTCAGTGAAAGTTTCCAGAGATGCGCTATTGAGCACTCAATAGACTGAAAGTCTCTTTATGCCTTTTCCTTGAAGCAACATCGACAATGAAATATGCCATAATCAGATATGGAATTTTTTTGTTAGGTCATGAGAACATGGACAATATGTTCCCCAGTCATTGACATTGCAGTTTCTTTTCTTACTGGGGATGAAAGGGTTTTTGAAGACACCGGCTGCCCATTCTCTCAACCTCCTCCACGAGGGGCATTCCTTGCTGCGTTCGTACGAACGAATATTGCAACGATTGGAGTTAGCACATGAAGACAATGATTATGTGCGTTGCATTGATAGAACCATTTTGAACCGTGTACGCTTGGAGTTTCTCGTTGATTTTACAGATGCGTGCAAGAAGTAAGAGAATGACATCCACCTATATCAGTCCTGACTTCAAGGCTATCATTTATTAACCCAACACCATTCCCATTCTTCCTAGAGAGAGGGATATATCGACAATCATCACCGAACTAGTCCCCTCGGTACAGGATCCGTCACGGAGACAGTATCCATTGTCCCTACAATTCCTATCGGTCAAACAGGCCTCCTTGGCGTTACGAGGACAAACGCGTCTGCTTCACCTGCTCATGTAAATCACGAAGCGCAGGTGGGACCGGCAGAAACGGCACATAACTAGCACTGAAGTCGCAGAGAGACGGTTAGATATGATGCCTTCTCCCACTCCGATATGTTTCCCCTTACTTCCAGCTGCTACGCTTCATTTTATACTACAGTAGATGTAGCAGAATGACGAGGTGAGGGACAAACTTGTCAGGCTGACGTTTCAATACGGGAAAACCAATTTCCCACACATCAAACTGCTTTTGGAATCGCTCTTGGGCATCTTGTTTGCAAGTGGAATCAGGCGAAACTCTCGTGCCATCTTGGAAGATAAAAGAAAGTGAGAGCAGGAGGTGCTCAAGCGAAAAGGAAATTAATTGGGCACCTACGTGGTTTCACATGTGGTTGAAGGTGAAATTCGGAACAACTTTCTACGAGCTGAGGGATGTATTAACTTACTGTATTCTAAGATATACAGTACATACATGGTTGCCCAAATAAAAGGCAATTACGATAATTTCACTAACCGAGGAGCAGCTTATGGTTTGAATTAGTCTACAGGCGACTTCGCATATATCGCAGAGGGGTGCATGCGAGATTACAGATAGCCTGCAACCCAAGGCACTGGTGAAGGGGAATCTTGGAGAACAGCTCCTGGTGGTAAAGGGGCATAGACTTAACATGGGAAGGAACGGGACTCATGCCAATCACACAAACCCTCACGCGGAAGATAAAGGACAATAGAAACTGGTCTGGGAGGAGTTAGGTACAAGTTCCGCAGTATCCAGAGGGCAACTCCAATGGCACAGTCGAAATGGAGATTGTCAGGATAAGATCACGGTATTGTCTTAGTAATTTCTCTTCCAAATCAAAAATTAAATTTAAATAAATGAACTTTCTTTTTTACATGGAACGTAGAATTTAGGCGAGGAATCAAACCTTATTTCATGCATGATCCCAAGTTTATTGAAAATTGTAAGTAGTATATTAAAATACTATGGTGTTCCTATGCCTAAGGATCGACAGGCGCAGATGAACGAACCTCACGTAGTCCTTCTATCCCGTTTTCGCGTCTTATTCCCATTCTGCACCTCTAGTGCAAGACATTCTCGGTGATCCCATTTTTATTATTTATTAGGAGCGGAAATAACATTCAGAAGTGAGTGATACTTGGGTGTATTATGCTTGCGACCGAAATCATGCGCCTCTGAAGCACTTTGCAGGTACTTGATGGGAACGCAAGGAAGTGAGGAAATTATATTTAAGAAGGGAAAAAGAACGAAAGAGGCAACGAGGCAATGGAATCTGGAAGAATCGGAAAGGGAAGGCCCAAACGGTTGCCGAGGCCTAGGTCCTCAAGCGGAAGAAGCAGATGTCAGAGAATCCTGGAGGAAGCAAAAAAAATTCAAGAACCTTTATTCCAGCCAAGACCTTCAAGAAGAGGACGACCCCCAGGAAAATGAAGAAATGGTCCCCGATATCTCTGTTGAAGTAACATGAGCATTACGATCGATGAAACGAATGAAGGCATCAGGAGAAATCAGAAGAGATGGATCAGGATGGGATAATGGTAGATATGAATAATGCTGAGGAAGCGGCACACGGACAAGCCCCCTTTTTGTCCCCAAAGAAGGAAGGTACCCTCTTCCTGGACAAATGCAGTGATCATCCGATTGCAAAAGAAAGGAAACCAGAAAGACCTCAAGAACTAAAGACCAGTCTCCTATCCAACATATACGAACACTTCACAAGAATCCTCACGAGTCTGCTCAAGACCATCTTAGATAAAAAAAAAATTAGCCAAGAGACTAGGCGGGATTCAGGAGGGATTCAGCATTATATCATCTTCACGACATCAACCAGCTCACTCAGAAGTCATCAGAATATGAGACCACTCTGTCGTTCCTTTATAGATAATGAAAAGGCATTTAACTCAGTGGAAACTGCTTCAAATAAGAAGTTGCTGAGAAATCGAGGCATCCAGACACCTTATTTCAACATGCTCCGGAAATATACCATCAGGCAGCACAAGGATAGCGAAAAGATCAAGCTTAGTCGAGAAGTGTACGGCAAGGAGACGTCATGTTACCCAAGCTCTTCATTGCCTGCCTGGAAGAAATATTGCAGTTGGATTGGGAATTAACATAAGTGGAGAGAACCTAACCAATCTATTTGCGGATGATTGTCTTGATTTCCTTAAGTGCAACAGATCTACAGGATAATGCAGCAACTCACTATCGAATTATGAGTCAGTATATTTACCTTGGAAAATTGGTTTGAACATCTCCAGACCATTCAGAGGTGAAGATCTGCTACAGGATGGAGAGCCCTTGGGAGATTCAATAACATGATAAGTGATGTGTCCATATGCTTGAAACGGGCGGCCCTCAGTCTGCCTTCCCAGTAATGACATTGTTCGGACTTGGGCTCTAACCAAGAAATTCGAAAGTAAACTGCAAGCTGCTCAACGAGGCATGGACGATCTATGTGGGTATAGCGTACAAAGACTGGATTAACTTCACCTGAGGAGCAGACTGAGCTAAATGACATCATTGTGAAGACCGAGTGGGAAGCAGAAATGGGCGGACAAGGTGAACACAATTTAAAGTAAAATCACTTCAAACTCGCCGAGCATTTCATTTAGAAAGAATCAACCCCACAAATTCTACTGTAGAAAACAAATACACCAGTCACTCTTGATATCCCACCACTGTGGCGAAAGCGGAAAGCACTTTATTCCCACTTTAGTAACTGATGTAGCCAGAGACAGTTTGAGCCAGCAGGTGTAACTTAAGTTGCATGACATGCGGCGCCATTCAAAAGGGGATGTGGGGTTGCAATCAATCGAAAATCACTGTACAGGCGAGAGACAAGGTAGTTGCTGCAGTTTGTGAAGCACACAGACAAAAATGATGTAGGCACAGGCGTTCTTTCACATGATTTTCATCCTTGTCGAAAGCAAAAAGCACCACAGCTTGCGTGAGAATTTTGGTTACCTCGAGAAACAAAATCTCGTCAAGTGAAGAATCATTTCCTACGTATATACTACAATGAACATCGCTGTAATGTCCCACACGATTAAATGGCATGTCATTAGGTTTCCCCGTCCCCACGGCATATTTTGTTCTGTAGTTGTAAATATATATAGACTAGCGGCCTGCGGCCGCTACGCTGGCCGTCTAATCGCCGGAAATTTGAGAATGTTTACATAAAGGTATGAAGCAGTTCGATTCGAACCAAACATTAAAATCAAAGATTTATGGCCTAGCCTATAGCCCAGAATGGCAGAATCTTGTAGGCCTCGCGCTTAGGCAGTGGATGGCCTGAATGGACTTGAATGTTATAGCATCGTAGTCCTCGCACGTTAGGGGGTGGCAGCCACAATAATTTTCAGCCTCTTTCAATGAAAGTATTAGAATAGATAAACGTAGATAGATAGATATATGATATCATCAGCTCCTGAGATTGTTGCTCCACAGAAATCCACCGGATAACAATGTGCAGTTTGAGTCAGACATCGAAATTATGGGAAACTCTCATGATAACGAGGACCAAGCAAAGCCTTGAGTTTGTCGAATAGGTGCACTGAAATAAATTTAAAATATGAAATATTGTCAAACGCAGGCTGAATGGGAGTTTTTTTGTCGTTATTGCAAATCTCAGAATCTCATTTCCCAAATCAACTCGGTTTCTAACTGATCAGAGTCGAAAAACGCGTATTTCGATTCCTTTTTCAGCGGTTCAGGGTTTGGTACAGCCTTGATGGCCTCACTCTTCTTTGAAGGATAGGATTTGTTAAATATCGCGATTAAAAAAAATATATAACGACCGGGCAAGATCGAATCAATCTTCATCTCATTATTTCAAAATAAACCATCAAAAAGCGAAGGCAAAAAGAAGCAAATTGATTTTGGGAAACCGAACACGACCGTGTGGCATCTGCAACGGCAGAATGAAAGCAAGACATAGATGATGCACAACAGGAAGTTACAACGGATGTACTCAGCTTCGTCTATGTACAGTTCAATTTAAAAAGAATTATAATTAAAAAAACCGCCAACCCATGAGTGTTTGACACGGAATTCAGAGTGCCTACTCTAAGGGTACAGTATACTGCATGTCAAACAGAAGCCCATTTCAAGCTCACGTTATTGGATATATTTGTTCCTTAAAAACTATCATCCTCGCCTTCTGACATGTTGAATGCAAATACTGTATGTTGACTGCCTCCGCCGCTCAAACTCAATATGATATATGGGGTGAGAAACCCTTTCAATAATTCTAAATTAGTCTTTACCCTTGGCAATATCCCCACACGAAATGTTCAATTTGTGCTACCCTGCTCGTCTGAAGGCAGAACAGGAATTCGTCAATCATTTTTCTCGGAAACCTAACAGACCGAATATCCTATGCTTACTGGAAATTTACCTTCATGTGATCCTGAGGTACCCGCTCATTCTCCTAGTTTCAGATATTTTCATTCACGATCTCAACGTGTTCATCAATCCTATATGAGCTTAGCCTACTACATCCCGGCTTCCTTGACATTGTGCCTCTGTCCTTGAACTTCTCCTTGCAGGGCGGACGGCTATTATTGTCGATCATGGAAGTTACTACTCTTTTATTCTTTATATTATACTGCTAGCGGCGGAAAGCGGGAATTATGCCTCAATCACAGGTTCAGCTGCGGCATGACTGGGAAGGGCAACAACTACTTGTAAAGGTCAAATGCCCACTTGAAGAGTTGTTTTGAAGTTTAACAGGATTCATCAGGGAAGAATTTGAACAGAACAGGCTTCCCTGCTGCTAAATTTGAAATATCACATACTAAACAGACCAACTTCCACTCTTGCGACGTCAGACACGTCACAGCTACATGCCTGTTCGTTTTCCTCGCCTTTGGAGCGACGTGAGTCATTTTGAGAGGAGATCTGCCCTTAATCTGCAGCAGTTTGACGGCACCATTGTCATCTCAAGTTTGGGCAACGGTGGGGAGCTCGTGTTACTCGTGTTAAACCCATCAGTTTTCTGATTATCGTAATTTCAATTAATTCTACCAATGAACGAACTTGAAATTGGTTTTCAACTGCCACCCTTTTGCATTATAGGTACTTCGAATTTCGAGTGAAGTTTCTGGTTGGTTTTTCATTTTTGGCCTACTTAGTGGGTAGGCCACACAATCATTAACAAAATAAATGGGTAAATATACATTTAGTCCTTTTTCAGGGCTGTATCTTGCTTGTTACAAAGGTCAAAACCATCTAGCGAGGTACAACATGTCCATTTGACCTTGAAGAGCACAAAATATTTGGGTCGTATCTATAAGGCTTGTGTAATGAGAATAAATGATATTGGAGTGATCAGAACTTAGTACAAACATTCGTAAGATGAATTCCCTGGCGGCAATGGCGTCTTTACGAGGGCCATCATACTCAGGAAAATAGTCGGCAAGGTCTGAGTACATGATCTTCTCCGTAAACAGATCCATCTTGTTCAAAAGTAGAATGAGGTGTGCAGAGTGGCACAGGGATGTAACGGTCATGAACATGGCTTTGCTTTGCTCCAGCCGATTCTGTCTGTCTCCTGAGTGCCCATCAGTCAGGAACTGATCGTAGTCTGATAAGGCGACAATAAAATTTAGGTATTTCACATTCTGAAAGTAATGCATCCATTTGCGTGGCTCTGATTGCATCCCCCCGACATCGATCACCCTATATATAATATGAAACTTACTATAAATAATTTCTTCCACGATCCCTGTGATAGTGACCCTAACTCTGACAATATCCTGGTCAGTAGGGAGGTAAGAGGGGGAAGCGATCCTATCTATGTTTGACAAGAAGTACTTGGTAGAGTCACTCAGGGAATATTCCCTACTTCGGTTGTAGCATTCCTGGATCCCAGTGTCTTTCCACAGCATTTTAATGACACTCACATAAGGCTCCTCGAACGCCGTCACCGTCTCGCGATCCACCGATTTCACAAGTTCTGCCTTGTCCTTGCACTCACGAGTCCCATACGGGATCTCGAGGAGGTCCATTGCCCTGATGATGCACTGCATGACGAGGAAAATGTGCTGATAGACGTAAGTGATGAATCCGCGCCGGTCATCTTCAGAATATCCCGCGCCGAGTCCGATTCGCATCTGCTTTCGAGCTGTGGACTTCCCCGACTCCGGTAACCCAAGCAGTACAACATACTCATGTTTGGCATCTCTAGCATCCTTACGGATCTGTTTGTCAATCTCGGCATTGATTCTTTTCCTCTCCAAGTTCATCTTTCTTTTGGTGTTGAACTTGTCCAGGCGAGCAGAAAGAGCCTTCAGCTGTGAGCTCCATTGCCAAGGCATTTCTTACAGACTGGCTGAATCTCTCTTGAACAGGTCAAGTTCTCCAGAGGTTAGATCACATTGGCTCCATGCTTTGCGTATAGGACAAGTCCTCTTTACTCCTGAATTCATTGCTAAATCTTAAGCAATCGGTTACACTTGCCGGCAGATGAAAGTCCTTGCTGACTGCAGCCGTCGCGGCAGTCAGATGAGGCCGGCAACTTCGCACCTGCAAATAAAAGAACGAAAATGCAACTTTTTAAATCAATCCGTTGAGCCCAACCTCTCTTCTTTGTGTCATGTATTCAAAGATATTCCACATGAACTTATTGAAAGATTTCGATACACTGGTACAGGTACTGTCCGGTTCAGTTCACTTGGGACTATTTTATCCTTGGGTCTCTATATTTTTACCTCGTAGGCTTACCCGCCATCCTTTGACTCAACTCACAACGACCACTGTATAAACTCACTCCCCCGAATTTACTTCTCAGCGCCACTAGAATAGCCTTGTGTTCACTTTTTGTTCATCAACAGTCAACTAAAAGACAATATATATATCGCAGGGATTTCTAGAATAAGAGGGATTTGGAATCCCTAGTGGGAGACGGATTTTCCATAAACCCGCGGGTTTAGTGAAATCCTCTCAATGTCGCGTGAATGTCGACACTCTGGGGAAATTCTAAACCCAAGTAACACAAGATATTTCAGCAACGTTTAGGAAATGATGAACAACGTTCCCAGCAAACAATTCAAAACACATAACGTTGATTCAACGTTGAATCAACATCGATTGAACGTTCGGAACGTTGATACAACGTTGGTCCAACGTAGCCTTGTTTGCTGGGTTGCTTCTATGTGTAGGTATCCAAAACGTCAATGTTGCTCAAATGTTGCGAAAGAACATTGCATTGACGTTGCAAATCGTTAATTATTCGTTTCATATACGTTCCAGAAACGTTTCAGGACTTATGTTGCTGCAATGTTGATGGAAAACGTTGCTTCACTGGTACCTAATCTGGACCTATACTGGCATTATTACCCGGAAAAGCATAAGCTTCACTGGCCCTGAACTGGACCGATATTGTGCCAATATTGAATTATTTCTTTCATCATTTCGTACCTTATACTTTACCTCTCTGCCCAGACGTTCCATAAACAGGACGAAGCCTGTACTGGTATAACCCCTACCCATGCATAATACAGTATCTGTATCATGTATAGCCAGGAAACAAAGTACATTTTTGGAGGTAATCTTCCCCTGGATGTGCTAAATATGGCACATTGCAGGTAAAGGTCCACCAGCAATGTTCTATGGAGTGTCCTCGAATTCAATCCTTCATTTCCTCAACTTGTTCTCAGGATGAGGAAATGAAGGATTGAGATTACAGACGCTCTACCATCGTTTTTAGTAACCTGTAGGATCCCAGCAAATAATTTGAAACACAACGTCGAATCAACGTTGAATCAACATTGAATAAACGTTCGGAACGTTGATATTACGTTGGTCCAACGTAGCCTTATTTCCTGGGATGTAATTGACGAGTTCTTGGAAAGGGTTCTTTTTGGGAAAATGAGCTTGCTTTTTATCTTGGCCCCATGAATCTGCCTCGAATATGAGGATAACAAGTGATGAAGTGTCCTTGTTCATTGATTCCTAAAATGAGACAATGCGAGACATATGGCAACCCAGCAAACATAAGAGCGTTGTGGGAACGTTTCCCTAGAGTCAATACAGTGTCATCGACGTTGAAGGTCAAAGTCCGACGTTGCGTGAATATTATAGCAGTGTTATGTCACTATGATACCTTCTTAAATCGCATTTTTGAATAATATTTATGGTAATATCATGGAGTATGCATCGCCTACTAGGGAATTAACTTTTTTTTCAAGAAACGATCAAGAACTTATCCAGTGTTACCATCCCATGCACTCCCCCCTGCCCCCCTTCCCAGCCCCTTCCCTCCACGTGAGACAACCCTTTCTCACAATTCACCATCCGTAACCCAACGCCCTCATCATCTCCATCACCTCTCATCATCAACTCTCTCTCATTAAAATGGAAAAATGGGAGAAAAAAATCCAGACTCCCTCACTTTTTCACATTCATCCCTGCGGCCACCTCCCCCCTTGCACAAGATTTTCTAATCTGCTTGGCATGTACCCTCAAACTTCCCTTCGCGCACCCCCACTAACTCTCAGCTCTTACTTTCGCACGCGGACACCTGATAAGGCCCTTCCGGCCAGCTGGATCCGCAAACGCCTTACGATCTTCGGGGCATCTGTCCTTAACCCTTCCGATAGGATGTAAATATAATATCGACTTAAATAAAATCACACCTTACTGACTCACGAAGTAAACGGCTAGGACCCTATAGATTTCATTCTTCTTCGGCTCAGGTGGACCTAAATACTAATCGGCTCAGGTGGATCTAAATACTAGGCACCCCAAAACACTGATACTAACCGAAATAAATTCAGGTTGCTTTCTTAATAAGGCCGCATAGTTCCTTACTCTTTAATTAAACCCCTAAAGATAAAAAAAACCTCAAGGGAGAGATCCTGGGGGTGAAGCAGCTCTCTCTCGGGTTGACTTCTCCCCCATAGCCATGAGTCACCTTCTCAGGGCTAAGTCATTAGCTTCATGAGGGTCTTGCTCTCTGCCGGCCCTCATGTTGTGAGGATCTCACCATGGTGGGCGAGAGTCATGTGTCGGTCCACCACATGACAGCGGGGCCCACCATACCTGTAGCTCCTAACTTTATATAATAAAAAAATGTTTGCCAATATCTGAACAGGAGATTCCAGAAGCTCATCTATGTACGTTGACTCTGCTTTTCTCATCCTTTAGCGGAGGGAAGAAGTTGAGTTTTCTGCAGAGCAAGCAAGAGAAGACCGTTCCCTGGAAAGTACTTAAATTAGTACTTTCAGAAAAATATTTATACACCTCTTAAGTCATTATTAACCCAATACTGAGGTGCTACTAGGGTGGGAGTGAGCATTCCAATTAGTGACATTGCAATGTTGGATCAATGTTCAGCCAGTGTTGAATTTCAACGTTCATCTGAGTATTTCGATAAGTGACATTGAAATATTGACTTAATGTTAGATGCAACGCCACCACAACAGTGAGAAGGTTCAATTTTAACGTTCATACATCGCTGATTGAATGTTCGTTTGTTTGCTGTGAAGGTACTAAACATTCCTGTACGGGACGATTCCAGGAAAAGGGAGAAGGGCACTTTTGTTTACTGTTCGAAAAACGAGACCTACGCCTTCATATCGTGGCAAGGAGGAAAACTTGACAATTCCCTAAAACTCCCAAGTCCATGTTGTATCAGAATTTTGTCGCAACGTTGTCGATGTCTAGAGTGTCAACATTCTCTCAATGTTGATAGCAAATGTTGTAATAACATTCGTAGAAGTGTCGCAGCAACATTCCAGTTGAAGCAATGTTTTATCAATGTTGTACATCAACTTGCAACATAGAGCAACATTAGGCAACATTTCAGAAACGTTTCATCAACACACTGTTACTTGGAAATATCCCTGACTCAAAAAGTGTTCCCTTCCCTTCCCCTTCCCCTTCCCGCCGCTCGACTTGTCTCACCGCGGGCAATAATCCTTTTATGCGCGGTTGGCTTGCTGAACAGTGAAAAGTGCCCCACTACTGTCTGCCTCTACTGAAGAAATTGGCATGTGGACAAAAGTAGTCAACAAAGGGAGAAGTACTGAAGGCTTGAGTGCGACTGAGGAATTTAGATACTTTTGGGGACGACCGCTGGGGTCATCACAGAGCTCGCAGAATCCCATCCGCGGAACGGGAACGGGAACGGGAACTGTACTTCCTAGTACTGGATTGGAAGTTAAGCTCCGGCTGCTTTCGTTCGCGGTCTCCTTTCCGTTCCCGTCCTGATTCCGCGAACTATTGACGACCGTTCTGCCAGAATGCGCCGAACTAGCAAGCCTTCGAAATGCCTAATGGCGTCTTGGCGTTCTCCGACGTTTCATGGACAGGAAGAAGATAGTAAGTACAAGATACAATACAGTAGCAAAGGTAGAGACATAAACTTTACCTCGCAACTGGTCTTATGGGAGCAAAAGTAACCAAAATGTTATCTCAAGTTAGAAGTGAAACTTTAAAAAAATTTCCTTTCGTCCCAGCTAATTTTTTTTTTTTCTACAGTGGTCACGAGTAACCACCCTAGTCAGCGTCGCCCATTCTCCAAAAGATCTCCATGAGTTCCGGAGAACGTCTGAAGCTGCAAAATCATTTATAACTTCTTGGAACTGTATCTTATGATCTGCCCCGACACAATGGACAAATACGAAGAGTTACTCGAACACCTCTGCTGCGTAGTGGACTTCGGTTCATTTCTTTCTTTTTTACCAGCTGAGAGGAGCGCTCAAAACAGATGAGAGAAGGGAAAAGGGGATAGTTAGATACGAAGAAGGTCAGTCCAGTTTCCTTATCGCAAACACCTACGAATATACGAGCACACATACTTCAAGCTAAACAGACAAGTGTTATGAGCACAATAACCTACCATCAACCGAAGGTGCGTGAAAGATAGCGTAGGTGTGCACAATCATAGAAGAGTGGATTCCGCTTTATTGGGCCATCGGTTAATGGGGGCAGCCGGTTTATCGGGACATTTTGTTAGGAACGGAACCATTTCTATCGCCAAGGAGGGGCTAATAGGAACGGAGGTGAGGCTAGTGACTTCTCAAAATTTTCTGACGAGGGTGCACTGACGCACTTTATTTAATGCAGAGTTTAAACTCACAGTGGAGTGTGACGAGATAATGCAGGAAGCTATGCGTTTATTGGGAGGGCCGATGGCATGCGAGATAGCGGCCGTTACTTCTAGACGGCGTGCGGCTGCAGTGTGTTCCCCATTAGCATGTCCAGTCCATAGAGTATCCATAAAGTCACACACCAGTGGGGCATTATGGGTAATGTCGTTTGTTTGTCTCTTTTCAGGTAAGAAACACCTAGAATGGCAAAAGGTGCAAAAAGAATGGTTTTATCGCATCCAGACTTGTTTCGAACTAATGGGAGAACTTTTTAAACAAATATTGTGAACTGGAGACACGATTTAATTTTCCTCATGGTGCGTGACTTTATTGACACCCTGTAGTTATACGAGTATAGTCTTGTATATACTTTATTTCTGGAGGAAACTAAGGCCAAGGGAGGCAGGATATCATTCGTCTAGCGACGTAGCCTCGGGGGACCAGGGGAGTACGAACCCCCCCCAAACTTTTCAAGAAAAGTAAGTAAAGAAAACAAAGAAACGGTCCAGGAAATGCTTAACAGTGTCCCAGAGTTTCTGCGCTCCCCCCACACTTTTTCCCACCCACGCTACGCTTATGCGAGCGTCCCCTGGAATGACATGCTTGCTTCAATCCTGCTTAGTTTTCCCATTCGTTTTATTCCAATAGCGAAAACTATTTCCAATTGCAATTTCTTCATTGCAAGAATCTGAGTATGTTGAATCTTTTTCATGACGTCAGTTCGTGACCTCGGTAAAAAAATAAAAAATAAAAAATAAAACAAAACAAAACAGACGGCTTGGTTTTATTTTTATATTTAGAGACAGTATGAGACTGATTTTTTTTTAGATTGCCAACCGTCTCGTCGCTGCTCATGATCGTCGCAAAGCGGTCGCGAATATAAAAAATTCTTACAAAGATCCTTTGGCGAATACTTTAGTCAGGTCCGGATTCAGGAACACCTTGATAGAACGCATGCCCGCAACCCCTTGGTACAATCTCGCGAAGGAGAGATGGAAGGGGATGAACAATTTAGAAATCATGGAATTTTGGTGGATATTCATTTCGTTTTTCATCACATCCAGCAGCCTGGCGCTCGTACGCGAGCGCCTTGTTCGCCAATTCGGTAATCAAGCTCCAAACCTGAGTTCATTTTTCTTGCATGCATGACTGAGGCTGAGTTTCTACGAAAGATCTCAGAAGGAAATTGGCACTGGGATCCCATGCCTCGCTGTTGCAAGTATGCTCCCGCTTTCTTAGTTGCTGTTTGGAAGTAATTCCTCTTCAGTATCTGCAAATATGTGTATTAAGACCAGTCATTAGCTCGGAGATTCCCTTAACCCTACAGTGCATAGTGTGCCAGATATGGAACATACCGGAATAATTTTGATATAAAATTGATAAAGACTCACTCTAGTGCAAATGGGGACTGAAACATTTTTTATGTTTCCGATCGGGATTAAGAACATCAAAACTTTTTTAACGTCTGTTTCTTGTCAACAGGGAACATATTTAAAAAATACCAGGTCATTACCGTAGCTGAGTGAAGACCTTTCGCCAATTTCGTAACAAGCTTCTAATTTTTTATTTATTACATTTCATGTCTACAAAAAATGTTGTCATGCATTAGTAGTCTCATACATTCATCTCACATCTTTGTCTAAGGTTTTACAAATTCTACCTATTGTAGTTTATCTTATTTTGCAAATTTCTTCAATTTCAGCAAAAACCAAAAATTGCACTGAAATGACAGAATTTGGGCAGACTGATGCTAAATATCTTACTTTCGTACCTTCAGAAAATGTATGCAAAATTTGACTTTCTGTCTCCAAGGGTTTTCATATTTCATGCACTGTAGGGTTAACAGCGTCTCTGGGCATGAACTGACACCTCGATGGCAGAAAATGGCGAGACGGAGGTACGAGGTATGACTCAAATATAATGTCATAATTCAGTAGCAAATTACTTTATTGCCATCAAACTCCTCATTCATAAACTCACTACGTGTACATTTTTGTGATAAGGCCTTTTGTGAGAAAATATCTATGTCAGTACGCCATATGTCCACCGTCTCGTTGACGACACAATTCCCAGCGGTACCAGAGTGCCGCCCACGTATTCGCTAACATTTCCTGCGTGAGGCCGATGAAAGCTTCCTGTAAGCGGTTTCTTAGGTCTGTCACATCACGCAGTCTCTCGGCATACACCTTTTCTTCATTGGGCACCCTCGTCCGCACCTGATGGTGTGGACGAGAGGGCCCAATTCCCTAGCCAGGGAGCTCTCCCGATCTCACACCTATGGACTTCCGGGGTCCGGGGTATCGTCCGGGGTCATATCAAAGAGGAGTATGCCAAGAGACTGCGTGATGTGACTGACCTATGGAACTGCATACAGGAAGAATTCACCAGCCTCATGCAAGATATGTTAACGAACACGTGGGTGGTACTCTCGTACCACTGGGAATTGTGTCGCCAGCGAGAAAGAGGACATGTGGAGGACTGACATGGACATACCTCACAAAAGACCTTGCCACAAAAAGTACAGGGTGCGTCAGCTATTTGAGAACAAAATTTGACTTTGAGGAAAACAAAAATATTCAGTAGAAAAACCAATATATTATCATAGAATTTGGTACAGATGTTCTTACATACACATAACAAAAGGCTATTCAATAAAACCGCCTTTAACCTCGATTACGGCCTCGATGCGGCTTCTGAAACGACTACATGCGTTGATCAAGTGATCCTTATTTATGTTTGCCATAATGTCCCCGATGGCAGCCTTCAACGAGTCCTTGGTATTATGGGCATGCTTGTTGGTCTCCCTCTCAACGACGCCCCAGACGTAGTAGTCCAGGGGGTTTAAATCAGGAGAGCTAGGAGGCCAAATGTTAGGGGTAACATGATCGTGAAAATTTTCGGCCAGCCACTCCTGGGTCGTGCTGGCTGTGTGAGAGGGAGCAGAGTCTTGCTGGAACACGTACGGCCTCCCCCGGGCCGAGACGCTGTCAAGCCCTGGATTGAGGGAGTGGCTCGGGGGAGGCCATACGTGTTCCAGCAAGACTCTGCTCCCTCTCACACAGCCAGCACGACTCAGGAGTGGCTGGCCGAAAATTTTCACGATCATGTTACCCCTAACATTTGGCCTCCTAGCTCTCCTGATTTAAACCCCCTGGACTACTACGTCTGGGGCGTCGTTGAGAGGGAGACCAACAAGCATGCCCATAATACCAAGGACTCGTTGAAGGCTGCCATCGGGGACATTATGGCAAACATAAATAAGGATCACTTGATCAACGCATGTAGTCGTTTCAGAAGCCGCATCGAGGCCGTAATCGAGGTTAAAGGCGGTTTTATTGAATAGCCTTTTGTTATGTGTATGTAAGAACATCTGTACCAAATTCTATGATAATATATTGGTCTTTCTACTGAATATTTTTGTTTTCCTCAAAGTCAAATTTTGTTCTCAAATAGCTGACGCACCCTGTATATATAGATAGAGTTTATGAATGGGGGGTTTCATAGTAATAAAGTATTTTGCTATTGAATTATGACAGATTATTTTTGAGTCATACCTTCATGGACACCCTGTAGAATAAGTGGACTCTCACAGGCACCCCATTGTTTGCCCAAACTGATTCTGCTGCCAACTCTGGGATCCATATACAGTTTCTGAATTCTTTTACTCAGCCATGGTATTGTATTATTGGTATTGTATGTCAAGGTATTGGCATTGCTGTGACTGTTTCCTCTGTAGGGGATCCTGTTACGTCAGACTTCCAAAAAAAAACGGCGATGATGGAAAGGTTTCTGAATCTAGAACTCAGATCCCTGAAGTCTTGATCAAGATGACATTCTCTAACCTCCTGAGACCCTTGGGTCATAAGTGTGCAACAAATTTATATGTAACTATTTGGAACAATCAAGTTTCAGATGACTATTAATATCTTATGCACAGGTTCTCTTTCCATTTGTATTATCTTAAAGTGAATCTCCTTATGGTCTTCAACACTTCTTGCTTCTCTTTTGTGCGCTCATCATCTCGCTCTGAAGAAAGTGCTTGTAATCCAAACTATAAGAAAACGTTTAATCTAATCCTGTACCTTCCTCTCTCTTATCTTCCTACTCCTTTTAACCCTTGTGTTTACGCACTGCAATCGGGGACTTGTACTGAGTTAAGAGTCACCTGTGGTCACCTCCTATTGCATCTGTCTTTAGAATACTTATGGGGTTTACTTCAAATAAACCTTGCTTCTCATGTTGCTTGATGTTGTTTAATAACCAAGGGTGGCTACAATTCACTCATTTAGAATGTCACAAACACTCTGAACTGGATGGAGGAAGGGATGCCACCTCCTACTTTAATAATTCATCAGTGGTGCAGCCTGCATCAGCACTTCCCCCCCCCCCTCCTTCCCCCCAAGAAAATAATTTCTGACTATGTTCATGGGGAAGAAAATTCTGGCCACACCACTAGTATGAAAATGGGGGAGAAAAAGCATGCATTTTTTCTTGTGGTCCATCCCTATTCCAACAGAAATGCCGTGGATTAACACTTGCAGCCCCTTACCCATCTTATGACATCCTATGCCTAGAGCCCACTCAAATCAACAGGATCTAAAGTGTGAAAAGTGTTGAAGGTGAACATTGCATGAAATGACTTACTCTCATTTTGTTCCTTCCATTTTGTCAAATTGGAAACATGATCTGAGGTGCTTTAGTCCTTTCCAATACATCAGCTAGTGCATTTGAGATGGTATTATAAATTCACTTATGAATGACACTGATATCAGTGGGTACTAGTAAAACACTAATTAAGGTATGATCAATACTGATTGAATTCTTTCAACAGTCAATACTGGTATGTGCACAGGTTTGTGGTCAAACAAAAACATACATGAATGAGACATGATACTTCCATAAGATTCATGAAATCTGAGTGAGTTACTGACCTAGGCTCAAGTTTTGGAAAGGCCAGAGAGGGGTTTTATGGATACATGTAATTTGACTCTTATTTCTGATTGCAGTCTATTCTGGAAAGCTGAAAGAACATAGATGGGAAGCTTGTGCCTTCCCTCTGAAAGCTGGGCTGGAGAGGGAGAAATGCTCGTGGCCAGCTGTTGTGAAACCAAAAATGCAAGCAGCATTGGTCATGTAGGTATCTGTTATCACTTATCTTCACCAATCCTCAAATCATTGACCAATATCCAATACCTGGTATCAGTATCAGTGAATCCATAGAGTCCTGTCCAACCAGAATGAAATACTTCACTTCAAGGATCATCCTCCCTGTTTTATGTTCCTGCAGGAACTTACAATAGGCAAAACTTCATTCAAGGTATCAAGTCTTGGTCATACGTTCCTTACACAAGCACTCCCAGTACATTAAATTTCATACCTTAAAATTCAGCACTTCCTGTGGCCTTACATTTTAGAATTTTTCTTAAATGGAGGGAAGGAGTATAGTTCTTGTACCTTTGGAGATGCTTTTTTTCCTGACAGGTTAACATATTTCTTTGGTGGGAAAAGTTCATTTCCCCACCACTGGTTAGACAATGGAAGGAAATCCGTAGATCGTTTATAAATAAGAAACCACCTATACTAACCCCATTTGCCATTTGAAACTATAACTGAACAATAAAAGAAAATTATCACCACCAACTTGCTTCCCCCCCCCCCCCTCCCCTTCCTCATTGCACACAAATGCCTCTCCTAACATTTGGCTTTAAAAAAAAAACTCTGCCAGCTCAAGAACTTAGCTGAAGACCTTGTTCTCCAGTGATACTTCACCAGATCAATCTAAGGGGGTTAATGAGCCAATCCTGAGAAAGAAGGTACCAAAGGAATTTTCTACCCTGAGGGAATGCATGTCAAATGTCTCAGGAACAATCTTCATATTTTCTCCAACCTGAAAAAATATATTGTAAATAAGCATGCCACTGTATTTCAGTACTTCATGAACACATCAAAGAACACAATTGAGCATGGAACAGAACAGATATCTAATAGAATATAAAGGTCTCTTCAGATATAACGAAATGGTTCCAGGAAGTGCCCATTATAATATCTTAGGTCTTGCAGCTTCCTTCACACCTGAATGCTTTCTGATGGTCCTCGGATGGGCATTCCTTGAAGTGCTCTTAGAGGTACTGCATGTGTTCTTGGTGGCATCCGCCAAGCAACACTCTTGGGACACGACGGATGTTCCCTGAGGTGTGAGGTATTCCATCAGAAATGGGGATGCACAGTTACCATCATGGCTTAGCCATCGATTACTGCCCACGCCTCACCTCATTAACGCAGGAGGAGGCTTTCCATCAGCTCACACTAAAATCAGTTCCGATTAACCACGATACATCCCCCTCAGGTCTCCGACACAAAGACAAGTAGGCAGGGCAGGATTAAGAAGGCTCGGAGTAAGTGGATTCTTGAGGCATCCCCCATTACTTTGCGCAAATACTTAACGTTTTCAATTTCCTTCGGGGGGGGGGGGGGAACAGCTTCCCCCTCCCCATTAACCCTTTAATGCATGACTTTTTTTTGGCGAAAAAAATCTAGTAGGTTTCACTCACGTCCTAGAACACGGGTCAAGAGGAAATTTAAAAAAAATCAAATTTATAAGTATTAATAGTAGACCCGAAAATGTTATTGTTGCTCATTTGCTACAAACAGCAATTTCAGCTTTTTAACCTAAGCTGCATGGATGCTAGAGAGCTCAGTCGGTCCGTCAACATTCGTACATACCTCAGCACAAAAGAAAATGTAAAAATACGGATGAGCGTGGACCCTGGATTAGAGTAAAGTTTAAGAAAATTAAATCAAAAACGTCAATCTGCCATACGACGAAGCCAGATTGGTTTTAATTTGCTTGCCACCAGGAATGTATGGCACCTAGCGACCGCATAGTTGCCAGGTATAAGGACCGGACTGTTGCACATCTGCTAAAAACACATTTACTTCAGGAGCTCGATACCTGCACATTCTAAAAATGTTTTTTTTTTTTGGTACGTAGCATATCTGCTACGTCATGCATTAAAGGGTTAATCCGGCCCTGCGTGTTGGTGTCTCCCAGGCGTTGGAAAATACATATTCTTCCTACCAAGGCAAAAACAAATAATAAAAAAAGAACGGAATGTGCAGCTCTTTTTCATTTTCTTTCGCTCCGCGATCCCATTGGTTTTTTTTTTCTGGGAGCTCCTGTATAGAGAAAAAACCTGAAAATTTATAACTTTCGCTCATGATTTTCTCTTCGGTTTTCTGGTCCTACTCGAGGAGCTCCTTCCCATTTTCCCCCTCTCTCAATCGACGTATGGTTGTGCTCCCTTTGAATTTCAGTCTCGTTCCCGACTGACTTTACCTCCGCCCTGTTTCAGCAGGACCTGTTTTTACAGCAGGAACTGGGAGGGAAATGCAGGAAGTACGACGCTCAAATCACGCTGGCCTTCGCCACCCTCTTTTTTTTTTCTCCCGCTCAGTACGGTCCATTCGTTTCTTGTTTCGCAATAACCGGTTACTTCCTGTCTCATTCTTGGGGTCTCAAGGACTTGCCTGGAATTGGGGACCCTTTCATTATCCTTCGACGCATTTCCTTTCCAGTCAGGAAATATATTATTATCAGAGGAAGGGGCAACTTAGTTCCCTTCCTGGAAGTCTCCTTTCGGCGAGAATTTTTCACCTTGATGGAATCATCTGAACTTCGGATAATCCGTTAGTTTTTGTCGTTTAATGGTTAACGAATTAACCAGAAATTTGGAACTGCCTACTCCACATCAACGGTTACCCGATTAACCGTTGGGACCCCAAACCTGGAGGGAGCTGAGGAGGAGGGACTGGTAGCCTGCTTTTTCGGCGGGGAGGGGGGGTCCGTAGATAGGTGAAAGGGGTCATACTGGAAGAAATGTAACATTCAGTGACATCAAGTAAAACTCAAGAGTACATTTTTTTCGAATGAAAAAAAAGCAATTCTCCTACGTATTTCTCCCTCTCGTGTACTTGCGTTCCCATTTTAACTTCCCTGAGTCTAGTGAACCACAAAGCACTCTTAATGGATCTTTCTCATATCAAGCCTTTCTATCGTGAGACCAACTTCCAGCTCCTAAGAAACCTGGGGGATTCTTATCGTGCATGCGATGGAATAAATAAATCGATTGAAAAATATATCAAAAAGGCACATCTAACCTGTACGCTTATTAATAAATAATAGGATATCACCGTTTCAAGGACACAAGGTCCCCTTTCTCGGGGTTATTTTCAAAGTTCAGAAAAAAGTTGTCCAACTCCGTTTGGGTTTGGGTTGTTTTGCAGATAACCTTGAGGAGGACGACATTGTGTCCTCGAAAAATTAGTTTCCTTTTATTTAAGAAACTTACTGGTTTGAGGTGCCTTTTTGATATATTTTTTCATTCGACTAAATTCCTCTGGCCATGTATCCATGAAGATTCCAGTAGCAGTATGTGTAGTGATTTGGTGCGTGACTGCCAAATGAATCCATCTTTTGTTTCCTATACCATGAATAATGAAGGGAAAAACAAAAGGATGAAAGACAGGCCAGAAGGAAAAAACAGTTTCACATCAAAAAGAGCAGAATGGGACATAGAAAAGTGTAAAAAGGTATTTCTTTTTAATTGGTAAAGTTAAATTAGGATATAGATTATGAAATACATAAGGTGAATTTTGAGCTTCCAAAGAACATCATTTTACTATTAACCCTGAATCATTGGTTGAGGCTAGTGGAGCAACCAATGGAGGGGGTGGTTTCAGGGGATCGGAACCCTTCTCAAACCCCAGCTCGTGATAGCGTCACACTGCTCCCCCTCCACTGCTCCACCCAGGGGTAGCAGAGAGATACTATCGAAGGGGAGAGATATTAGGGGAAGCAGAAAGACATCATGAGGAAACAATCAGAGAGCGCCGCTAGAAAACGGCAAAGATTAAGAGTTAATGGGGGGTTGAAGGTGAAGGTCACGCCTGACCTCCTTGATTATTCTAGTGGCCTTCCTCTGTACTCCCTCGAGCGCCAACAGATCGCCTTATTTGTAGGTCTCCAAAACTGGATGCAATATTCCAACTGCGGTCTTATCGGCGCCGTATGCAATGGAAGAATAACGCGAGATGTCGTACTTGCAACCGACCGACGTATGTAACCGTAAGTCGTTTGTCTCCCTTAAGTCATCTCGCGTCCCCCCTTTAGTCACACATCGTATCCCACTAACAAGATGCATAACGGATGCCCCAGTTTTATTTATTTATTATTTACTTCCTTCTGCCGCAAACCGGTTTAACCTTTTCTTTGGAAATCTAGAAATCTTGCCCGCTGGAAAGACTTTGATCCCGTTCGTAGATAAATATTCCCTCACCACGATTCATGTAAAATTTACAGACTGGAGATTCATGGTCAGGTATGGCTGTCTCTAAAAAAAAATGTTCTAACCCAATTCCAGCAAGAGTTCTAATTACTTTCACGGGAATTTCTGGGATCACCCTCTTGAAGGTAATTCGACACAGAACGTGTGTTTTTTTTTAGAATCAGAATAAATTCGAAAATTTGGTAATTGTGCCGATTATCATGCAGAGAACCTCCGCAGGCGTGTTCGTTGCCAATCGTCTCCGACGCGAGGCCAGGAACAACTGCCGGGTCGATTGGAAGGACTATTTCGGGGAGAAATTGGTGCGCTCTTTTGGCTACATGCTCGAGGATGGATTAAATATTGGGGGAAAATGTTTATCGGAGCGCTCACATGTTCCTTGCGATTCACGGCCGATACGACGAGATGGTAAACGTGTGCTTGGACAGAAATGAACCATAAGGCGACGAGATGATCTTCTCATGGGGAGTTGTGTGGAAATATGTTACCAAATTCACTCCGGAAGAGAGGTGAAACATTGGACGAAACGAAGAATAATGTGCTTAGTAGCAAATAAATGTTTCTTAAATATCAGAACTGCAGAAAAGGAAAAGAGACGAAATTGCTGCATAAGGGAGAAAATTCATTAAACGTTCAAGTTTAACGGTCAGGAATGGAACCCAGAAATGTGGATGTAGACTCCTCGCACAGGGATGCTATATTTTCTGCAGATGCATGCAGTGGACCGGGAACAAGCCCGATGCGAGAAGTCAAACGGGCACAATTCGGTAGGAATCACCAGAGGTATTGGGGGCAACGGTGGTTTTAGGGAATATCAGGATCCATAAAGGTAAGGGTCCCCTTGATGAGAAAGAAAGAGAATCAAATTTCCGTTCTAGCAAGTCGGGATAGTGGAACAATATCCCCAACCACTAGAGGAATAACACCAGGGATACGAATCGCGATCGGGATTCCGGCAGTAGTTGTGCTTTCCGCCAAAATCGTCGTGAAACTCAGGAGGATCGTAATTCCAAGCACTGCATTGGGCTCCGTTGTCCGTGATGGAACGCGTCCCGATGTATTCAGAACCCTGGGTGGTGAATCGACATTCCGGGATGGCTGCGAGGCGACGTTGCACATTGTTACATGACCATAGAAGAACGGTTTGAGATCTGAAAGGCAGGGCTACTTACTCATGTCGCTACAGTAAGGGATGTTGCAATATTCGATGATGGATGTCCCCGTCGCGTCCTTGACGACGCACCATGGTCGATCCCGACCTGTCTTGTTGGGGTTCCGGCAGTAGTTGTTGTTCATCGCGAGGTTGTAGTACGGGAAGGAGTTGGTGTATCTGGAGCCCATTTCGTTGGTCAGGATGGTCCCTTGGTTCTTCCAGGGGAGGCAGGCCTTTCCTGTCTCGGAAACCGCCATGCTTCCGATGTACTCCCGTCCTCTGCTTGTCACGCGGCAGTTGGGGTACGTTCCGACACCATCTGCAATTCCAAGCGGGTTCAGTCGATCACTGTTGTTTGGATTCAGGTTTTTTTTTTCATGACGCTTATCACGATGTACATAAAGAAAGCGAGTAGTTTCTCCTCGAAGCCGATCGCATTATAATATTTGAGTTCGATTAGTACCGTCATGCTTCGAATAATGCTAGCTCCAACTCTGCGTAATAAAGTCATGACACCGAAGCCTCATCCATCTAAGATCCATACAGTCTTTTCTCCCCCCAAAATGGGTGTCCCCAGGGCATGTACCTCCAAAGTCGGATTTTTACTGAATTCTGCATCCCAAACCGTACATATGTACCAATTGTGAAATATAAAACTTCTTTAGAACATTTTTAGAATTAGCGTCAGTCACTCAGTTACTGTCACTGATTCCGTAACGATAGTCTATATTTAAAGAGATTAATTATTTCTAGCGCTTTGTCTTGCAGTCTCTACGATCTCCTCTTGCAAAATATGCCATGCCAAACGGAAGACTGACCCTTGAATTTAAAAAAAAGAAGAGAGGTTGATTGAAACGTACGTCCAGGCAACCAATAGACGGTCACCCCCATGACATCCTTGGTGAAACCCCGCAGAGGCTCTCCGAGGAGTTCACATTGAGTGGAGAGCATGAATCCTTTGCATCCGTCGATCCTCCGTGCTTGGCATGCCAGGGAGCACTTCCTCAGATCGTTGGTTGGGATCGTCGCCAAGATGGTTTCCTTGAATCGGATGTTCAGCCATGTTTTCCCAAAACTCGCCGAAGGGACAATCCTTTGCCCCCTCTCTCCTGGAATCCAGGAAAGCAGGAGGATAAGGACGACCCAGGAGGCCTCCATATCGAGGACTGCATCCACCCCGGACTCAGTCGCTCGCTTTTGCTTGCCAGGAATGCGAAGTCGTGGCACCTGCGCTGCCCCTCCCGATTTCGTCCGATTGGCCAGGTGAGAATAAAAATGATTCTCGTTTCCAATCCCCTGCTGATGCGATAGAGCCCGGTCGATTCCCAGTCTGTCGTTATGGAAACCTCGTCCACGGAGTAGCCTGCTGGAATGTGATTTTAACACAGGAAAGATATGCTACTAAGACAAGTGTTCTTTCGCGCATAACGAAACTCGGTTGATTCATTTCCCAACGAACAATTTCTCAAGAAGCAACAAAATCACGGAACGATATTATAATGCATACCCGTCTCGTCATTTCGACACTTCACTATTCTGCAGGATGCTCGGGATCTTCCAAATTTCATTGAGCTACAAAGTCTTTTTTGCAGTTCGCTTAAAAAATATATTTGCGAGACAATGACGCGACTTTGCTCTTGTACCTTCATGCATGCCATTTCGACACGTTCCTCATGAAATTTTCAGACTGTCGATGAATCGCTCGGGCCAGACATTTCCTTTTTCCTTTCTTTATTCTTTTCCTCATACATTTCCTTATTCTCTCTCTGTGAGCTTACAAAATTCATGGGTTTTTTTCTTCCTCCAGTTTCTTCGATCGCCGTCCTGACGCATGACCGGACCCAGTCCATCGCCAATACCGGATAGGATTGCTAGCTAGCTGCGTTCGCGGTTTTTTTTTACGGCGCTACTTTTTACGGTGCTTCCTTCGACAACCATTTTCATATAGTAGTTGATGCATTTGATGCAGTCCTCTCAAATTGGAGAATGTAACGCAAGCCGCTTAATATTGCTTTTATTTCGATTTTCTTTCGTCTTTTTTTGGTTTTCAGTTCTTTCTCTGCTAACAATATTTTTGCCCTTTCGTTCCCTCCATTTAGTCATCTCATGCCTCCCTTAAGTCGCATATCGTATCGCACTAACAAGATGCACCAAAATCGTCGTGGAATTCTGGAGGATCCTCATTCCACACTGGGCAATTGTATCCGCCATTCGTGGTGGAACGAGTCCCGATGTAATCAGAGGCCTTTGCGATGTATTTGCACTGCAGAATGGCTTCATGGCAACATTGCACATTACTGTTACATGCCTAGAGAAACTATTAGAGATCCGAAGGCATCCGACGAAAATTTTCTCTCATACCTGGGAACCCAGTCTCATGAAAATTTAGCAGTATTTTGTACGAAAAAATACCATTTTGATACTATCAAGGAGACAACATTGAAATTTTCTTTAGTAGTGTAACAAATTCGACCAAATTTGACTTATTCTTGACCAAGAAAGACTGCATTGACCTCGATTTGGCTTATACTAACCAATGAGACAATGTCCCTCCAAAAATTATGCAAAATTTTCATCACGTCAGCTCAGTCCCTGTAAGTTACAGATAGGTAATTTCAGGTATGATTGAAAAATTCGCATTCTTCTGACTTTTCAAGGCTGTATCTTATTTTTGGCCAATGACGGCACTATTCTCCTTCATCCTCGGAGTTGGTACTTGCATTGTGAATAAAACAGTGGGTACTTCATTTTCAGCAAATTGTAGCAACATGACTGACAAAATGTTCCAGCATTACGAACAAAACTGCGCATGGGATCTCCTTGGAGCAGGATAAAATGTGGGACTGGAAGGTTGATTTGGCAACGATTTGGTTTTCAAATCAGTGAAAAATCAAACATTTTCATGGAAAACTTTGTGGGGAGACGTCTAGATTGGAAATATTTCTTGCGCTAGTATATCATTGCCTGCCCCCTGTTTTATTCACAATGCAAGTACCAACTCCGAGGATGAAGGAGAATAGTGCCGTCATTGGCCAAATTTCTCCCCCCCCCCCCCCCCCCCCCCCCGCGTAGCCCACCGTGGGCCGTTGAAAGAATATCGAGAAGGACCTTACGGTAGAGGACCTCCCAGAGATGGCTCAGAAACGAGGAAATTATCTTAAGTCGGGGGTTGAGATTCTTTCGAGAGAAAAAGACTTGATTGCATCGTGTGCAGCCAAGCGTAGGCTTCACATCGTGGCATGATAGATTTATAGCTATTTGTTTACTTTCATTTTTCTCTTCCTGAGGGAGCGAAACCTCATATTTTCTCTGCTCGGCAATTCATACGATCCCTCTCGCGATGGATGTCAGGGTCCAGTCCTTCAAAAAACACGATAATTTTACGCGAATCACAGGCATTAAGAATCCTATGTAGGTTTGGGATATCATTCTACATTAGAACAATTGCGAATACAGAAATTGTTCCCTAGTTCGTTCCATAGTTCCGCCCCCCCCCCCTAAAAACTACCAGACTCCATGTCCTGGAACAGTTCCTCAAGAAGATTTTATCTGGGCACGTTTATTGCCATAAGCAAGAGCCTTGGCCCTTTTCGTGTCGAAGAACGATAATGGAGTATTCTGGAACGAATGAAAATTACTTAATTACACCGTTACCTCACAGGAAGTGACCGAAAATGTCAAAAGCATCCATGGCAACGAGAAGATACGTATTATACAAGAAACAACGACCTGCAGATCTCTGTATGAGAGGATTTCGTCCGGTTAACTCCTCCCAGGTTTCTCAACCTCAAATTTGGGAGGGTCATAGGGTGACGCAATTGGAGTTTTTATGCCGAATTTCACCCTTCTAGCTCTAAAATTATGGGAATTATTTGCTGATGACCTGTTTGCGTGCTTCTCTTTCTCTGTATTGAGAAATTGTAAGTTTCAAGGAAAATGAACATTTAATACTTCTGAAGCAGAAAAGGATATTAAATTCCATTCTCACAGTTTTTAGCATTATGATTCACTCACTCAACCCAAAAAGCCAAATCGAGTCCGCCTTTGCGCCTCCAAAATTTCATCTGAACAGAAAGCTGATTGAAAACTCTCCACAATCATAGCTTCTTTTTTTTCGACCCACCCTATATTCCCAGCAGCCGAAATCCATTGTAAACCATGAAATCTGGATTCTCGGAAGAGGAAAGAATTTGTTTCCGTTCTTCGTTGCACGTTCTCTCCCATCGATTCATGTAAAATTTACGTACTGAAAATCGATTCCCAAGCATGACTGTTTTTCTTTCGCACGCTGCTTTTCGAAAAAGTTATTTGCTCTCTGCTCGAGAATTCCTTCGATCGCCTCGTGATGGATGACCGCACCCAGTCATTCGTAAATACGGAAGCATTGCCTGCATCACGCGTTTTACGTTGCATTTGAATGCTGCGGAGCGGATGCGTCTCTGATCTGCAGCTGATCTCCAGACAAAAAGCGAATGATGAAAACATGTGATACTGGTTCGATAACGAATATGCATTCTTTCCATTGTGATTCGTTTCGGGCATCGAAAGTGGTAGGTCGTGCCGGCAGGATCGATGACTCCATGTTCTCCTTTTAGGTTTGTGTGTAAATTCGTTTTGAGCTTTCGCTCCGAAAGAGAGCCAAACATGAAAAACGTTTAGGAAATTGGAGACATTTTAATTACCTGTAAAGCAATTTCTTGAATAGGGAAATCATAGGAAATGAAGAGAGACCTGAAGAAGAGAGCCCTGCCCTCCAAAACTCTAATTTTCCTCTATCGTAGAGTCATGTGATATTGTACAATGTCGCCTTGAAGCCATTCCGGAGTGCCGATACCAGTGGATATCAATGCGAGGTCTGGAATGGGGATCCTCCAGAGTTCCACGAGTATTTGGGGGGAAATCACAACTGCTACCGGAGTCCCAATCACGATACGCATCCTTGGTGTTATTCCTCTCATTCTTCTGGTCAAAGATAGTGTTCCACTATCCCTACTTGCTAGACCAGGAATCGGACTCTTTCTCATCAAAGGCAACCCTGACCCTCATGGACCCTGAAACCACCGTTGCCCCCAATACCATTAAAGATTTTGCCGAATTGTGCCTGTTTCACTTCTGGCATCAGGCACGTTCACTGCATGAATTGCAGAAATGAAACCAATCCGGCGTGAGGAGGTTCAATCTGTAAATTTTACATCTCATTCGTGGCGAGAGAACATGCATCGGCGAATGGAAACAAGAAGTATTTCCTGTTGAAAAAAAATATATTCCAAGCCGAATGATGAAGCGGGTTGCGGCTGGCGGTAATACGTGTAGATACTCGGAGATGTCTCTAGGATTCATCTCAGCACGAAAGTTTTAAATGACCTGCTCACCAAGATTGTTCCACTTTGTCTTCACCAGTTTGTGCCGGTTCGCGGACACGCATCATGGGGCCATTGGACATTTGTCCCAGATCGAGCGACTCCTCGAAAGGGCAAAAATATTGAAAGCCGAGAAAGTAGGTAACAGCAAACCAAAATATGTAAAGAAAACCCCTTGATAAATAAAAGAAATAAAACGCGGCTTGCGTTACGTTCTCGCAATTGAGAGGAACGCATCAAATGCATCAAATAATGCATTAAAAACGTGATCGAAGGAAAGGTGGATCCGGAAAAAAAAAATCGCGAACGAAGCGAGCGAAAGAAGTATGAGTGAAATTCCAGCCGTAGAAATCCATCACCAGAATGTGAATTTCCTGTGCATCCTGGAAAGACGGCAGACATCGACGAACGAGAACAAAGTCCTCACTGCAAGATTTCAGCTTTCAGGACGGAAGAAGACTCCCGAACAAGAGTGGGATCGATGAATGAATGAGGATGTCGTTCGTGCCTTCTCGTGGGACGGCCGCGAGGAGGCACGAGCCGGACGGGTAAGGGGATTGGTTCCAATAGGGAAGCAGAGCTTTAAAATTGTTTAAAGTCCAATCAGCCACAGGAGATGGAACTTCAAATTTGCTGGAGCAAGTCTGTGTTGAGAGGGAAAGAAGGAATAACAATTTTGTTCCCCCAGATACTCTCAAAAAGACATGCGAAGAGGTGGCATTTAGCCACTAAAAAAAGCTAGGAGATGCAATAAGGGAATCCCGAAGAGTCTCACTTCTGTTCATTCATTGAGTAGAGAGGCTTCATTCCTTTTTTGTTCGCCTAAGTTCCCTCTCTTCTCTGGCTTTGTTCCTTCAGAAGTCTTTCGATCTGGGAAATCTGAGAAATGCCTGCCAAATGGAAGAGCGAATGGGAGCGAAACGACCGAGTTCCAAATGTATCCTCTCATGCGTTTTGACGTGAGACCGTTCTCTTATCCCCAGAGACAATATTGCCAGTAGGCATGCATACGGTCCTCTCACCAAGTATGGACCAAGTTACCTGTGATTTGGGGAATGCGTGGGCCATCCATGTCGGTCATTTGAATAAACACGGTTCAAAAAATGAATCGAGGCAGTGCTTTGGTTGCTTAATGTCAATGGTATCACTGTGACCCGATATACCTGTGAGTCCTCCGTATTCCTAAAGCTGGACGACACCCGATTCCCTCGATGGATGTGCACCGAACAAGTTAAACGGTCCAGAGAGAATCGTCACCAATGTGGAGGTTGGACTGTTCAGTTGGTGACCTGCCTCGTTGGCGTGAGGACGATGCAGAAAGTTGCTTTCTGTTTGTAGAGACTGTAAGCTAACGGTGTCGATCGGATCAAGACCCGTCTTGAAAGCGTTTCTAGAACGTGAAAAGAACCATGCGAGTCGCGAATGAAATCACAACGGGGGAGAGACTCGGCGGTCCCGGGTCTGAAAAAGCACAAAATTCTATTACAACTACAGAAAATTCCTTCGGGCCTGTTCTGAGAGGCTGCAAAGTGATGCCATATATTCGCAAGGGAAGTGTTAAAGGTCAAAGAGGATTTCCAACATCAATTCAACGTGGTCCTCGATATCGACCCAACTTGCGGCAGAGGGATTTGTCCATGTGGGCTCAGTGCCCACGTCCATGTTTCGTTCAGAAATAGTCTCCACGAGGGCTCAAGGTGGGTGCGTTGCCTGGACACTAGCCTTGGTTGCCTGGAAGTCGCGGACCTTCTGCATTTTGATCATGTTTTGAGGCCTTTCTATCGTCGCAGCAACAAAATGCGAGATACCAGAAGAAAAATTCTTTTCATTTTTTCATTTTTCCGTCTCTATTTGAAGAGCCAAAAAAAAAAGAGTTTCTGGAAACTTTTGCAGATTGGGTGAATCCTTCCGAGATGAAAGTTTCCTACGGCTGCTGCAACACCAATTCTTTCTAATTCATCAAATGGCAAATACATTCCTTGATGGAATTTGAGCCAAAACTTTTCGCATCAAAAACCTTCAAAACACATCAAAACGCTTCAAGTTCAAATGAATATAAGCGCTATAGCGGAAAGAAATGCAGAGGAAGCCGAAATGGCCGGCATGTGTCCATAGTGCGAGAGTTTCCATCGCTCGCAAAATTTTTTTTCTCCACCGTTCCATCGATCGCCCTATTGATGGATAAACGGACCGCGTCCCTCTCAAAGGCGACAATGCAACGCAAACCGCGATCGGAATCTGGATTATTACCTCACATTTTCCTATATTGGAGAGAAAATTATCGGTGGTTTTTTTCTGATTGGGTCGTGAATGTCCTTGACCTTCGCGAAAAAGCTCGGTCGACGGTCTTCGAAGGAAATTTATTTATTTATTGAGTTGGCTTTCTTTCGCTTTGTGTGCTTAAGTCCCCGAGTTTCTGTGTCAAAAAATTTTTTTTTTGCCCTTGGAGAAGTAGTTCTATCCGCGACAAATTATTGATCACCCCATGAAGTGAGTCCGCGAACCTGGCAAACGAGCGCCCCGACCGGATGAAGCAATCAAGGTATGTAATGGTAATATGTTATGGTAATAATGGTGTGTAATGGTAATAATGGTGTGTAATGGTAATAATGGTATGTAATGGTAATAATGGTATGTAATGGCAATAATGGTGTGTAATGGCAATAATGATATGTAATTGTAATAATGGTGTGTAATGGCAATAATGGCGTGTAATGGTAATAATGGCGTGTAATGGTAATAATGGCGTGCAATGGTAATAATGGTGTGCAATGGTAATAATGGCATGCAATGGTAAGGTATCGAGAGCGAGAAGAATCTGCACAAGGAGATGGAATCATCTGCACGCAGAATTTCCAGAAAGAAATCACGAAGTTCGGATTAAACGGCCGTCCACAAATTGTGCGTCTTGCCGCGATCGCTTTTTATTTAACCCTAAGGAACTGGTTCCTTAAAACCGTTCCGTGAGGCTTAAAAAAAAGTAATCTTCTCTTCGACGCGTCTTATTTTATTTACCCTTCTGATAATATGAGATAATGTGAAGTTTCTTTTCATCTGTTCCCTGCGAGCAAAAGCATATCCATGAGGATTTGCTTCTTATTTTTTTCTTGTTGGTAAAAAAAAAAAGAATCCATTCAGAAACGAGACGAACTTTGCGTTTCTCGGAGTCTTTCGAATGTGCTTCCGGAAAGACCATGCGACAAAATCCCTTTGTTGTCAGTAATTTTTGTCATCAGTTTCGCTGAATGCGTTATTTACCGAGAATATTGTCAGGTTCCAATCATTCCATACGCCATTTCCATTGTGAGGAAGACTTAAAATTCGGTTTTCAAGCTTTTCATTGGTTCTCTATCAGGTCATGAAACGAGCACAAATATTTAATATATGTTCAATTACATTTCCAATAACTTTCTTCAGGTACTGCTGGAAATATCTTACATGAACGTAAAATAAATTTGTTCAGAAGCCAACCCGCCGAGCTAAGTTCTCATCCAAAGCAAGCAAAAATATAGGTAACACCCCAAGTTGGGCCCTCGTTGGCCGTTAGTAAGGGAGCGTGAGACAACATTGCAGTGGGCTACCCAAGTTGGCCCCATTTCAGAGCGGTGGCCAACATTCGTTCTATTTGTGGGCGCGTCATCTATGCCGGCCATTCCATTGAACAAGGTCTCCACGAATGAAGCTTGGTGACAGGTCAATCACCGGCATTTCAGTGGCGTCACGGTGACTCCCTTCATGTCCTCACAGTCAGTGATTTTGATGTGCCAAATGAACATTTTCCAACAAATACAGTTGGGGAAAAGCCCGATGTCGAAATAATATAATAAAAAATAATGATTTGAAACCTGGGACTATTTGAGCCTAAGGGGGTCGGAACTCGTTTCACATGCGCTGCCCAACATTCCAAAGACGATTCCCGCTCAAATCCATCTGTACATGCCATCGACTGCTAATGATTGCCTCTGTAACGTGGCGGACCGGATACCATAATCAAATCAACTTCATCTCTTATAATTGTCGAAATGGATTCAAGGAGATGACGGGATGATGTCGGCAAGAATCGCGACGGAGTCGATCCTAGAAGTAGCCATTTGCGAAAATCATGAGAAAATCTTTTGTCAGCCATGCTGCTACAACATTCCAAAGACTTCCTCCCCAGGCGGCCACACAACAGAGGGAAATTTTCCACGAATTTGTTTACGGAGAGGACTTAGAAAGAGGGAGAGAGAGAGCAGGAGGACGATGGAAGGAGAACTCACTGCTTCTGGAGTGGGGAAAGCGGTGGTATTGACAATGCAGGTCCAGAGGTTCTCGTTGGAAATGCCGTGATGAGTGTGGAGGTCCCAGACCTTAGATAGTCCAGGGAGTCCATGAATACATCAATTCAGCCCATGTGTCGTATCAGACTGGTATCGAGATATTCATGCCATTAACTCTATTTCTGCCAGGAAATATAGCGCACCTGAGAGGGTGCAGAACTAGACCTCATATGTAATTCCCATTAAAACCAGGATGCACGCCAGGATACATTAAAACCAGGATATAATTTGATGAAACCAAGAATTCAGTGCACAAGTGCTCCCTTGATCCCAAAATAAATAATGTTTCACAACCTCCTGCCTTCCACCCGTCTGTCCACTCATTACATACTTCAACGTCACCTGAAGTCAAAATATTGTTTATTTCCCAAATTACACAGCCTAATTACTCAAGTACGAAGTCTCTGCATTTTTCTTTCGAATGGCATAGACACCACCCCCTCATAAATTCAATTTGTGGGGCACAAATTGAATTTATAACCTTTTGGTGAAAGGTCGGATTTTTGAGGTTCAGGGGGTTGGAACTTCCATCACCTGCACTACTATATATAGTCCATGGACAAATGCAGTACAAGTTATTTATTTGCATGGCAACGACGGCTATTGATCGTCTCAAAATGTCCCCTGACGAGGCTATACTCCAACTTTAAAAAAAAAGCGCTGAATTCATCATTATTGTAACAATGAAATCTACAGCTCCTCCCTTAAGAGTTATGGTATTTGAAGAAAATGGATTTAGCCTCGTAAATAGTATACATAATAAT